GAGACTATTACTTTTGGGTATCCAGTTCACCATTATAAGTGACTGCCAGGCTCTAGTTCATTTGAACTCGAAGAAAACATTGTTAACACAGATTGCTACATGGTATTAAACGTTATCTGAGTATTCATTTGAAATTAAACATAGAAGTGGAGACAAAATGTCTCATGTAGATAGTTTGAGTCGTGCTCCAGTAGAAAATGCATCAGATGATGGAATGATTGAGGAAGTTTATGCAAAGAGAATCAATTTGTTCATGATAATTCCTGGAGAAGAAAGAATTTTGATGATCCAGAGAAGCGACCAAAAACTAAACCAAATTGTTGAAATCTTGATCAAAGAAAGAACTTCAGAAGAGAATAATATGAGTAAGGAATATGGAATCGACACAGGAAGACTGCATAAGAGAGTTAAAGTGAACAACGAAACGAAGCATTTATATGTTATACCCGATTCAATGAGAAGGGCAACAGTTGTGAAATATGATCAAACGGGACACTGGTCATTGGATCGTACTGTATCAGCCATATTACAAAAATTTTGATTCAGGGGTATGAGAAGATATGTGAAGAAGTACATACAAGGCTGTTTTGAATTTTTACTAGCAAAAGTTCCCGGTGGAAAGAAGCCAGGAATACTCCACCCACCGAAAATTCCAGACAGATCAATGATTAAATTGCATATAGACCACCTTGGACCTTTTCCTAAAAGTACTATAGGAAAGATGCATATATTAGTCGTTGTTGATGCAATTCCAGTGGTCCGAGGAATGCCAAGATTCATTCAAGTTGGAAAGAGCTTTGATCAACGCTCTTGTTTTGAGTTATCCCCTACCGGATGGAAAGTTTATTTCTGATATGGACGCCAGCAATGTGGGACTTGACGCAGTCTTTTCTCATATCCAGGATGGACAGGAGAAAGTTATTGGCTACTTCAGCAAAACGCTCAGTAAATCAGAGCGCAATTATTATGTCCCAAGGCAAGAGCTGTTGGCCGTTGTCAAAGGTGTAGAGCACTTCTACAAATACATGTATGGAAAAAGATTTCTGTTGAGAACGGACCATGCAGCTCTCAAATGGCTTCTGCAGTTCAAAAATCCCGAGGGCCAAGTAGCGCGCTGAATTGAGAGATTACAAGAATTTGACTTCGAAATAGAACATCGAGCTGGGACTAGCCATGAAAAAGCAGATGCCTTGTCGCGGAGACCATGCCCCGATGACTGCTCATATTGCCGACGAGCAGAAGAGAAGGAAGCAGCTATTTGTAGAATTACAGCTGTACACTGAGAGGACAATAAGATCAAGGAAGACCAAGAGAAAGACTCAGATCTTGGTTTAGTCATCGGATGAAGGAAAATTTTTCAAAGACCGTCGTAGCAGGAGGTAGCAGGTTATTCACCAGAAGTTAAGTCCAACAGGGCCCAATGAAACTCTATTATCTTGGAAAACGGGGTTCTGAAGCGGATGTTGGAATCTGAAGACGGTAGAGAAGAAAGGCGCCAGACATTGGTACCCAGTAACAGACGACGGGAGGTGCTCAAAGAAATCCATGATGGAGTCACTGGAGGACATCTGGGAGTAACGAAGACCTTCCAGAAAGTGAGACAACGGTTTTACTGGGTTAATTGTCGAGCCGCCGTTAAGGACTGGTGCAGAAAGTGTGCTGTATGATGTGATGCCAGTAACGGACCTCGGATACGACCGAAAGCTCCAATATGCTAGTATAACGTCCCTTTCAGATAATTGCCTTCGACATTGCAGGCCCTTTTTCAGAGACCTATCATGGGAACAAATACATCCTGGTAGCCATGGACTACTTCAGTTAGTGGGCAGAAGTTTATGTTCTACCCAACCAGGAATCCTTTACTGTCGTTGACGTCCTGGTAAAGGATTGAGTGTGTCGATTCGGTGTCCCATTGGAGATGCATTCAGACCAGGGCAGAAATTTTGAGTCCAACCTGTTCCAAGAAATTATTAAACTGTTGGACATTCGAAAGATCAGAACCACAACCTCACATCCACAGATTTATGGAATGGTAGAACGATTGAATGAGACCATAAACCGCCACTTATCCAAGGTAGTCTCTGACCACTAAAAAGACAGGGACCAGCACCTGCACCTGTAGTAATTAATATTACTGGAGTTTTTTCACAACACCAAACCGTTATTTTAACACCTCGGCACGTGTTTCAATCACCAAGTGATCATCTTCAAGAGGGAGATTAAACTACATATGCTTACAATGTTTCGTTCATTCTCAACCTGAATTTTTTCTTCCTTATTATATCACCTACAATAAAATGAATTGATGGATGTAGCCGTTACTGCGTGGTAAAAAATCATAATGAAAAGAGAAATGAAACTTTCTATGTTTTTTACCACTTTTATTTGTAACTTACGTTACTGCAGTATATTTACTTCACCTGCGTGGCTACAGTTGCAGCTTCACACCTTGCCGCTACGTCTAATTCCACTGGTGCAGCATTTATATTATAAGAAGTTTAATGGGCATCTCATCTATTGAAACCATTATCAGTGCTTATCATTCACTTTTTATGTCCCATATGTCTCATGGTCTAGTACTCTGGGGGCACTCGCCTCATGCAAAAGAGTGTTTGGACTGCAAAGAAAATTTTTGCGAGTTATCTTCAAACTGGGATATCAAGAAGACGTTAAAACAACATTTATTAATAATAAATTATTTACATTACCTTCTCTTTACGTCTATTCATGTATAAATTATGTAAAAAAAAATCCTCACTTATACCTGAATCAAAACGATTATCATTCACATAACACCAGACAAGCACAACAGATTAAAATTGAATTTACAAGACTAAATCACTGCCGTTTTTCGAAAAATTATTATGGTCCTATTTTATTTNTTCAATAAATGAAGATATTTCATATTTTTTTATTTTGCTTCAGATATTTATGAAGAAGTAAGTACCTGATCAGGTAGTATCAATGGTGATTACGTGGGGTATATAAATATTGGAGTGAAGAATGAATTTCTAGTACGTTTTCATTACGAAAAACTACTGTGTTATCGAAGTATGTCGTAAATTTTTTTTAAGTAAAGTTTGTGGAGATCAAGTCGTAAGGTGTGGTTCATAAAAAGATATTATGTAGTTGCTGAGACTGATCGTTTGAAGCTTCATGATTCATATTGTTTGAGACTTCTTCATAGAACCTACTTCACTTGAGTTAGGATCTTTTTTGTAACCTACGAAAAAAAATTCAATAAAATAAGAACCAGGAGTCTATCATAAAAAGTTTTATTTTGTGTAAACTTTCAATTCGGAGAAATTGTTAATCAATAATTATGCTTTTATTAAGAGGAAAATTGAGACTGAACAATTTTTTGTCAGATGTTCACTGTTTAACAGCTGAGTACCTTTTTTTTTAATCCCTAATATTTATATTTGATAGGTAAATATTTTTTTTCTTGAAGTGAATGAGTTGGGGATTAAGTGCGTGAACCGAACCACCCTTTTTCCCCCGTATTTTCACAAGTTAAATGATCTCTCAGGTTAATTTTTCAAATAACACCTCAATCATAATTTTTGATGATTTTTGATGAAGGTGAACTGAAATTATGTGAAATGGATTTTAAACTAAACTAGACTAAACAATCTATCGAAAACACTTTCCCAACACTAAAACAAAAATTACGGTCTCTGGTGTTGGGAAAGTATTTTCGACAGATTCATTTTACTCCAGAGGTACGAACTATAAAACAAGCAATGTGATGGAAATTTTCAACTCCTTAGACAGTGTCAAAATGATGTTGCATTAGCCTTTTGACTGATATATGCAAAAATAATTAAAAAAATCTAAAAAAATAATACTCAAACACGTCTGTCGCTCTATCGAATTTCATGTTCTGCCATTTAACAACGATTCACACGTGTCACCAATTTCACTAAAGTCNAACTTCTGTGAAGATTCCTGCACTGACGCCTGTCGGATATAATCCAACGCCCTTCGTGGTATTAGCCAGGGGAGTAGTTGTTTTCTGATAGGCGTCAGTCCATTCAACCTACTGTGTAAGTATATTCGAGACTGGCTTGAACGTTTAAAGTTCATTTCTTCGGATTTGTTTACTGCCAGTCTTCAAGCATAACCTACTGACTAATAAGTAATAATGTCAGTTAGACAATTCCGCTTTCTGCTTTTATAACTTCGTTGGGAGTTAAAATGGACACCACTACGTCTTGGCACAATCATGTCGCTGGAATTGCAAAGCCGCTTCTCAATAGCTTGGAACACTGTTCCGAACCAGAAAACCTCAGCAACATTTGATGCTTTATGAAGCTCAGATCAGACTTTCGTTGGAGTATTATTGGAGCTTTACCCGCAAACACCTTGAAGTTGCTGAATTCCATCCAGAAAAGAGCCATTCGCCTGATTGGAAACGTAAACATGACGTGTAACCTTGATGACCTGGAACATCGGAGAAAGGTTGGAGATTTATCTCTCTTTCATATATACTTTCACGGGAGGTGTTCAAGTGACTTGTCCCATTCGATTCCACGAAGAGCGGTGGAATCGAATGTCCTTAAAAAAAGTAGTTATTTTGCAAAATAAAGTTTGCTTGTCTTCATATATCAATGTGGAAATGAAAAACTTTCAAAGACAAAAAAAGGAAGAATGAAGGAAGATAGTATGACTAGTGAATACTTATATAAAAAATTGAAATATTAATACAAGTTGAAAATTAAAAATTTTAAAATATTATTAACAAAGAATGAAAAATAAAAATTGAAAGATTCCATACCAAGTTACGTCACGACGTTTCGATTGTTAGTATCCACAATGGTCTTCGGGTGATGATTGGTTATCATCACCCGAACACGATTGTGGATATAACAATAATATATCAATTTACAATCAGCTCTTATGGATACATGGCAGCCGCTTTCTACCTTCAAGCATTTCGCGAAACAGGTGACTGGGGATTTATTCTTCAAGACAGTTACCACACTCAGTTACTTCTTGGAGTTGAAGTAGTGTGTAACGCTGAAGAACAAAAGTAGTGGAGGTTGCATTCAAGTGGCCCGAAACACAGTTCGCGGTATTGAAATCTTGAGCTGATTCTTTCAATTGTTTTCGCATGATGCCGGTGGGGGTTAGACAATTGTGAGAAAGTGCAAAACATATGAATTTTTTATGTAAAGAATATTTGTGATATTTGGATTATTTATCAGGCTGGCAATATGTTACAGCCCAGGAGGAACTTTTTGTTGGTTTTACTTTTGTTTGTTTTAGTGGATTGCCTTAAAGGTAAGTTTAATTAGATATGTATCAAATTATCGTTAATGATTGATATGGTTTGACAGCATTCATTGAACTGCCTCGATTAATTTCATCCATCAAAAAGAACTTCCTAATTTTTTGAGTTTCTGTTACTTCTTGTATTTTTCGAAAATAATTCGCTGATGAATTTTTTTAGTTGAACTGCCTCGATTAATTTCATCCATCAAAAAGAACTTCCTAATTTTTTGAGTTTCTGTTACTTCTGGTATTTTTCGAAAATAATTCGCTGATGAATTTTTTTAGTTGAAATGGTGGAATCAAGCCACGTAAATATCTCCAGTTAATGAATTAATAATCGAACAGTTCAATAATTCTTCCTTCATTTGATAATTGATTCAACCAGGATATTAGCGTACAGGACAAACTAGCTGTGGATTATTTCCTGATTGAGATACAGTCGACTACTAAATGACATTGAAACAAATATCTCAGAGTGAAAGTTTCACGACTTATAAAAACCTTTGAATGTAATATTCACAAGTCGATACAGGAAATTCGTTTACAAAATCAATACTCGTTTCGTTTTTTATTATGGAATATGTAACTTATGGAAAAATTTCTGGAAATGGTTATTCGCTTATCGCAAGCAAGAATATTCGATGTTGCTCAATCTGATTTTTATTGATAATTAATTGATTATCTGTATTTGAGAATTTTGTATAGGTGATGAATGTCAGAATATTTCTCAAGATGTTGCAAATTTGAAATATCGGTTATGGTTTCGCCTAAACTGGCATTGATCTAGTTATTCAACATATTTTATTCATATCACTTCGAACCCTTCACACCTATGACTTGAAAGAAAGAAATCAAAACATTTTTATTCAAAGATTATTTATTCAAAGACTTCAAGTATTTTATGTGGTTAAGTTAATTGCTATTTTCAGTTGCTGAATACAACTACATATCTATTTAGGAAAGGGTTCAGAATCAATTTTTTGATAACTAGCTGTCTTCTACATACGAATGACAGCCTTCAATAGTCGAAACTTGTACGAGATAAGGATCAACGAGATATTATATTTTAAAGTGTGGTTACTGGCACTGAGAATGCTGATATTTGCTTGCTGTTTTTTATCAAACATAGTTTTATGTGAACAGCTTCTTGTTGAACATAATGGTGCTTGCTCCAACACTGGACCATAAATAAGCAAGAATATTACACTTTACAAAAAAAAAGCTATTTAATCCTTCTGGATTTTCAACTAGTCTAAATGACTAGTATTCTTTACACATGTTTTTGAAATTCAAAACTATAAACTCTGGCCTCCAAGAAGAAAGAATATTTGAACTAAATTCAAAAAATTCAGAAGACACAGATCATTTAATCAAAAATGTCATGTTTGAAAATAGTGCTGGCATGATTAAAAACAATATATTAATTTCAGTTTAATATATCAAAGACGAAATATGATGTAAGCAAATATTTCCGTATGCGCTTGAAGGTTTCATTGAGAAACATTGCTCGATATCTTAAATGCATTCGTTTTTGGTCAGTATACTGTCAACATGTTTCTGTTCAACCAAAATATCACGTTCGACGTTCAGAAGAGTCATGATGTCATAATTTGAGGGAAACTTGGTACCAACAAAAAGCCCAACCTATTACTAATAGAGAGAACTTGTATAAGTAGTACTGTAGAATATATTGTCCCATTGACCTCAGGAATTTCTTTTTACCAAATGACATTCTTCAAATAACTTCAAAGTTTCTCATTCTAAATTTACTTGGAATACCAACTATCATCAAATTATACATTGGAGAAAAACATAAAAACTAAAAAGTAGAAGTTAGATTAGTATTTTACGATTTCTACTTATTCTTTTGGAGTTAGGTTGTGCCTCAAACATACGAGTATTCATGAGTTTATTGTATTCTTTCAATTCTGTTCTGTAGACACTGTTATGGAATTTATTGCAGATTCACTAGAAAAACCTATTTTTAGTTTCTACTCCAACATCATGAAGAATAGTATTTTTTGGATCTACCGAATTACGCCGTTGACAATATTTATAAAGTTGATGGTTCAAGATCCAGTTTGAGATTGAAACCGATTTTTTAAGCGGAATCATCAAAACTTTTTTGTTTGTATCTAAAAGTAACATATGTGCATGAGCTATAAATAATGATAATAGTTCTAAATTAAAGTCCGCAATAGCATATATCTACCTCTTATGTGATAGCTACTATATGCAAAATACTGAGCCATAAATACAATTGAATTGGATACTTTTTTTGAAATGCACATCTGTCAAATTCTTTTAGAAATTGACAAAATTTCGATAATATTAACTTGACGCAGCGCATGCAGTAAGCCATTACACATCGCGTCTACTCTTAGGACGACGGGGACGATGCGCAGGGTTAGGGCCGGTTTAAGCAATGAAGTTCCATCTCCGAGAACGCGACCTGAACGCGAGCAGACGCTTGAGGGCAGACGTGTTGGTTTTGCGAAATTTCTCCGGTTCGTTCCAGTTTTCCGTTGATGCGCTCGAGCAGCAGGTGTTCATAGAACTTATACATCCAGTAAGCAAATTGGTCTGACGTAAGAAGGATTTCCAATTGCTTTGTCGCCTTTTCTCATCGGAGCAAGCATAGCTTTTTTCAATTCTACGGAAAAATCTGCATGAGCTGCTATATTATTGTAGACTGTAAGCGCGTACGCAGGTTTTTCAGCAAATAACGTCTTCATTACCTCTGGTGGTATCCTTCCTGAGGAGGTTTTTTGCTCTTTAATTTTCTGCCGGCAGCTTTTGCCTCTTCGACTGTGAAGTGTGAAAGTCTACCACTGTTATCACAAATTAATGAGTTGGAAAGAGGTGATTGGTCACCTTCTCCATTGTGTCCATGGTAAGAGTTATGTGGGGCGGAAACACCATTATTTCCCTAATGGCAATTTTATAGCCGTCGCCCCAGATATCTCTATCAATGGAGTCACGTAATGTTATCCAGCATCCTGTTTTGCCTACTCAATTCTATTTCTAAGACTCTTTTTACTTTCTTTGTTGGATTCCCACAGAATCTCCCTTGCCGCTTGTCTGATTGTTCCTAGAGTTTCTCGTATATTCTCTTCGCTTCTTAAAACATTTTTTTCGAAGGCTAGCAATTTTGTGATTTCACCAGTAGACAGGTTTCTTGCAGATTCCTTTACTGGTTCTTGACATTACCTTGTCACATATCTGTACAAGTTTCCATCTTCTTCCAATTCTTCCAGTATCGAATAGATTTGTCTCCTTGGTTTATGATCCATTCTGTCAATTTTTCTCCTCTTGTATCGGTTAAATTCATGCCCCATTGTGGGGATATAGCATTGAAGTCTTCCGCAATAATTGCCTCCTCTCATGAAGGATATCTTCTAGGTCTTGAATTTCATCGTTACAGGAGAAGTAGCAACTGAAGACCATAAACTTATTTGTGGTACTATATATGTGAAGCCTTGTCCGTATCCCTGGTCTTTGATAGGTATGTCGCCATTGAGGATTTTTATAGTCGTTTTGAGGTCTTTTCTATAAACTTAGTCTCTCCTGCCACGCAAAACATTGATATTTAGTTCGCTTATGATTATAATTTTTGCCCCAGTGAGGCTGTGGTAATCCCTAGATCATGCGCTTGTCGACTCCTGTTGGTGTTGATTTGTAGTATTCTTATCCCGATCGAGATGGATTTCTGATGCCTCCGACTTTTTCATCTTTGAGATCATTTGGCATTTGCGAGTTCCTGTCTGGTGGCCCTCCAGATTGCATAGAAGGCAGTACGGTTCGTTATTGCACTTTACCGCCTTTTGGCCTTACTGCCTATATTTCAAGCAAAATTGTTCCTTATTCGGCCCAGCGCACTGCTCCTTCAGATGTACACGCCCCCATCACCTGAAACATCGCTTCCAGTAATTTTTCAGTTTCATTTATGTATAATATGATTATAGCGTTTTGCTTATTGCCGTAGGCTGGTCCTCAGTCACCACCTCATCCATTTCCCTAACATGGATAGTCTTGTTGTTTTTTAGTAGATAAGTCGTAGCTTCCAGTACTTTTTCTTCCAGTTTCTTTTTTATTGCTTAAGCTTTGCTCCGTCCATTCTGAACTGTTAGGATGACTTCGTTGTTTCTACTCTTCCTGATTTGCCTGATTTCAGCACCCACCTTCGTTATGGTTGACTGTCTCTATGATTTTTTTTTCATACGTATCAATAAGGCATCCTAACTGGGATTTCTTGTCTGCTGGTTCTGTACGTTACCTGTTAAGGTGTTATTCATCCTTTTTTTCATCGTGTCTGCTTTGTCCTTACCTATTCGCTATTCTAGTTTTGAGATAACTGGTTGAATATCGGAGTATGTGAACAAAAAGACCAACATACAATTTATTACCAGTCCAAGGAGACCATCTCTCTCAGAAATGACGAGCTTGTTTAGGTTCTGTTTCATTGCGTGTTTCTTTATATTCGCTATAGAATGAAAAAGTTGCTTGTCTGACTTTTCATTTACTACAATGTCTTACTCGAAGATTGGGTAATACCCCCAGCTTGATGTCTGATTAGGATTACCATCATTATCTGGGAATTCCAGAGACTAATGCATCATAGCTATTTCATTTTCCTTTTTGTTCGGATGGACCAATCCCTCTCTGCCTCCAACTTCCTCATGATTCTATTTATATATTCATCCTTGGACTCTATATTGCTGGTATACGGCAAGATGATAGGGGATTCATTTGGAGCATTCGTGGTCTGTAAACTTTCGATCTTAAAATCTGTTTTTCCGTTAATCAGCTGTCGCCCCCATACGAACGACAACTCTCAGAAGTTGAGAAACTTATGCGATCTAAGGGCTAACGAGGTCTCACCTTTCAACGTTCGATTCCTAACACTATGCATGGATTAATGAATTTGCCAGTTTTCCAATCTTCTTCAGAGACACCACAAAATTCTTCGTATTTTCCGTCTTTTCTCAGTTGTTTTCTTCTTGATCTCA